AGATAAACTAAAAAAAAAAAAAAAGTATAAAAAATCACTGAAATCAAGCATAGCGATCTAAAAACAAGATTAACAAAACTAAAAGCTGGCTCTGACAGGACTAGTAAGATGGATAAAATTGATTAATAAAAAAAGGAAAGCAGAAGAGTGAAGAAGGAGGTATGACTACAGTCACAACAGAGTTTTAAAAATAATATTATGAACTATATGTCAATAATTGCAAAAGTTTATCTAAAATTGATATATTCCTGGGAGAACAAAGAATGTCAACACTGGCAAAAATAATTGAGTAAACCACTAAGCATTGAAGATACTTAAATAGTAATGAAAGATTCCCTCCCCTCTTCACCAGAGCTTCAAACTCACTTTTGTATAAAAGTATTAATAAACTTTCAAGCATCAGATCATCCTTACCTCACAGAGTTGTAGCAGAAAAGAGAAAAAGGAAAGCCTGCTTCATTTACTTCATATGATTAGTATACCCATGATTCAGTAAATTATAGTTCCGTTTGGCTTATGAGTTTTAACGCAAAAGTCTTAAATGAAGTGTTACTTACTAAATCCATCAGTTTATTGAAAATAATACAGCATGATCAAGTGAAGCAATGGAAGGGTGGTAGAATATCAGCAATTTTATTAATCTAATTCACCTCTATAATGGAATGAAGATAAAAGGAATGTGACTATTTCAGTAGATGCAGAAACAAATCACTTAATAAATTTCAAGGCATTTTAAGTTTCTATTTAAGTTTATTTACGTAATCTCTACACCCAATGTGGGGCTCAAACTCATGGCCCCAAGATCATGAGTCACAGGCTTTTCTGACTGAGCCAGCCAGGTGTCCCAAAACATTTCTGATAAAGACTAAAATAGTTGGGGCACCTGGGTGGCTCAGTCGTTAAGCGTCTGCCTTCGGCTCAGGTCATGATCCCAGGGTCCTGGGATCGAGCCCTACATCGGGCTCCCTGCTCCGCGGGAAGCCTGTTTCTCCCTCTCCCTCTCCCCCTGCTTGTGATCCTGCTCTCACTGTGTCTCTCTCTGTCAAATAAATAGGTAAAATCTTAAAAAAAAAAAAAAAAAACTAAACTAAAATAGTTATCTTAAAGGCTACGACAAACATGGTGCTGCAATGGAGAAGGTTTCTATACATTCCATGCAATACTGGGACCCACACAAGAATGCTCACTTTTATCACTACTGTTTAATGTATACTAAAGGTCCTAGCAATCAAGTAAACATGGTAAATAGATGCGTAAGTGTTGAAAAAGAACAAAGTGGTATTATTTACAGCTGACAAAATCATTTACATAGAATTTACAGTTCCATTTACAATAGGATCAATAGGTAAACCAGTAGATCTAATGAGAAAGGAAGAATTTTGCCACTGCCAGAGAATGCTAGAAATGTAATAAAATATAAAACAGAATTTGTAACAACTAAAAATAGGAATTAATCTAAGAGAATATACCAGACTTCCATGGTAAAAATTTGTGACTCCATTAAAGAACAAAAAAGATGACCTGAATAAACTGATGTAGCATTTTTTTAAAGATTTTATTTAATTTATTTGACAGAGGAAGAGGCAGAGAGAGAGGGAACACAAGCAGGGGGAGTGGGAGAGGGAGAAGCAGGCCTCCCGCGGAGCAGGGAGCCTGATGCGATGCGGGGCTCCATCCCAGGACCCCGGGATCATGACCTGAGCCGAAGGCAGATGCTTAATGACTGAGCCACCCAGGTGCCCCCTGATGTAGCATTTTTATGCACGGGAGAACATCACAAGAATGTCTGTTTTCCCTAATTGCAAAATCACTCAAAATCCCATCAAAATGTTTGGAGCAACGTAATGTATTTATACTAAAATGTATATGGAGGAACCAATGTCCACAAATAACTCAGTTGGTTTGAAAAATAATAGAGGTTACCTGTCCTCCAAGACAGGAAGATGCTGCAAAGCCAGAGGATGAGAACCGTTGTGATATAAAGGAGGAACCGTAAACCAGAGGGGGAGATGATTTATGAAGCAGGGTGAAGTGGGAAAACGACTTTAATATATATGGAGAAATACAAAGTTGGAAATACCTCTTACCATATACAAAGGTTAACCCTGGATTCATCCTTCATTCAAGAAATATTTATTGAACACCAACTATGTGTGAAGGGCTTTTCCAGATACTGGGAAAGTGTCCGTGAAAAATGCAAAAATCCTTGCCATCACTGGAACCTTAACTGCAGGGAGTAAATGTATAAAAACCAGGAAGAGAAAACGTAGGAGACTTTTTTTCATGATCTTGGAGTGGGGAAGGGCTTATTAAACAAGAGTCAAAAAGCACTTGATGGGTTTGACTATGTCATCATTAAACATGAACATACTTTATGACCCTATGGCTCGGAGAAATTCGCTTACATTTCCATAGGGAGATTCATTCAAATTTGCTCTTCATAGTGTTGTTTCTGGAACCAACCTAGATGTCTATCTCTTTAGGAAAGGATAAGCAAACTGTGGTGGAAGGACACTACGGAATACTGTGCATCATTAAGATACTGAATTACATTCAACGATATAGATTAGAACCAAACTGGGTATTGAGCGAAAAAAGTAATAACATAATTGGAAGAATAGAATATTGTGTATGTAAATATAAAAGATAATATATTCACAACCAATGCTGTACATTCTACAAGGGTGCATACATGTCAAGGGCATATACCAAATACTATTGAGCTGCTTCCTATGGGGGAGGATGTGAACATTGGAATGAGAATTAGGGACAAGGGGAATAAAGACGAAATAAAACCGAAGAAAGGTCTTGTATGGATTGATGGTGATAATGAGTTAAGAACTAAGGAATAATCTCAACTCTCCATACTTAAGTCCAAAAGAAAGAGAGCGGGAGAGATTCCCACTGGAATTGTGAAAAGATGGCGGTAGGATCCAATGGTCCCTAAATTGGAAGGTACCTTAGCAGGCAGGCAGTCTAATTTCTGCATCTCTCCCATATCACCCTCCACTTAAACTACAACACAGGGCAAGCTGTTCATGTAAAGATCGCTCTCGTGGGTTCAGAGTTCTTCCTGATGTATGGCTAAAACTTCCTATAAACACCCAGCCACTGGTGTGAGTTCTGCGGTCTGGCATTGTACCCTCCATCACAGAAGAGCACCCCAGATACTTGATACACCTGCTGTTGTAGTTTGTTACATCTTCCCTCTTCCAGTCCCACATGCCCAGATCTTTTAGCTGTTCTTCCCATGACCTGTTCAGGGTCTTCTAAAAAATTTCAGTGATTTATAGCATGACATCAACATCAGCTATTAAATGTGGCTTGCTCATTTTGAGAAGTGTGCTGAAATCCCCCTGGGGACCAAGCATCGTGTAAGGGGCTATGCATGGGTGCTCAGAAAAAGGAAGTCACTTTTATCAGAGTTACGACTGAAAGGTCTTGAACTCATAGTCTTGTTCTACTGGATTTTGAAATGTCTTAAGCTCAAATAAATCTCTGCTATCTGGAATGAGAGACTACATTTTATATATTGATTTATCCAGTCATCTGTCCAAGAAATAAATATGTTTTCATTGGCACTGAATATATTTCCTGTACCAAAGGTTGCTGTGGACTCTGGAAACTGGAACATGCTTCTCTGTACCATGGATATAGAATCAAAGACCGGGGACCCAACCCCAGGGAGCAGGCTTGCTTCTGGTCTCCCTTACTGAACCAACCAGAAGCTCCCTCAGCTCTCTGGATATGGTGGCTGCATTTCACTTCTTACCTACTTGGTAGTAGCTATGGATTTCTGTGACCCAAGAATTCAAAATGGCTCACACTTTGGGACTCCAACCACAACGTCTGTTCATGTTGTCTGGAAATCTAGAGTTCCTCTCTTTAATAACTTTGGAAGATAAGTCCAGTAGGGTAAAATGAATCACTATGGTTTGAAGATAGGTAAAAGAATGGGCATAGAATTTGGTACATTCCACACTAATCAGGTCTTAATTAAAATTTTTAACTAGCAGAAAAATGCAAAGGACTTAGAACAAATTCAACAAATCCTTCGGGAATGTGTTTCCAGTCAAAATCCTGTGAATGGGCACAGCTCTACACAGCACACGTTTCCACACTGGGGGATATGGGGGAAGCCAACCATGCTTTGGTGGCACTTAATATCTAGATGGGAAAAGGAACCACACAAAGGAGAATATCTTTAAGATGCCCACAGATATCACTGCGGTACAGAACTATATCCATGCTGCTAAAGTGGTTGGTGCATACATGAAATTGGGCAAAACCAGTGAGTAAGTGTCTCCGTGGATGTGTCTGGCAGGAAAATCAAGATTAGTAAGAAGGAGAAGAGCTAGAATGCTGGGGAGAAGGACAGGTGGGAGGTCAGGGCCCCCGCCATGACCAAGACCGGGACAGGCAGGTGCAGAGACCATGTTGGCTGTTTGGGAGGCTAGGACTCAGATCTCTTGCCACTCCCATGTACATCTCCAGGACCCCAGGACTCCTCCACTCCACCCGACACATCCGGGCTCAGCAGAGAGGCAGGAACATGTGTTTGTTTTCCAGATGAAGAAGTGGAGACCCCAGACAGGGCAAGAGGTTTCTCCAAAGTCACATAGCCACAGGACTGGAACTCGGGCTCCTAACTCATGGCCAAGTGTGCTCTCTTCTGTATGAAGCTGTGCCTCCGATCGCTGGTCTGCAGGAGGGCGTCAACCATGGAGAACAGGTTCAGGCTGTCCTATTCCGAGCAAGAAGAGTGAGAGGGGGCAAAGGAGTTTCAAAGCTGTTCATGGTGTATGCATGGGAGGCAGGGATTTGGGGGACAATTTCTCTGAGGCTGGTGGACAGAATGTCTTCAGTCACCCAGACCAAGAGAGTCGGAATTGTCCCCTAGAGCTCAGTCTTCCAGAACCACACCTGCAGGAGAAGCACGGTTGCCAGTGAGAGCTGTCACCCCATCTCTTCTCTAATTGCTTTGTTCAGTCTCCCTGTCTTCAAGGCAAGACCTCCACATAGTCGCTGTTACTGTTCTCTGGGGGGGGAAAAGCAGAAGACTAGCCATGAGGCTCAACATCCGGGAGTCACACGGACCAACCTCACTCAAGGGAAAGAAGACCCCTTCCCCAGGCAAGGAGGACCTCAATGCTACATCAGAGTGACATCTTCAAGGGCGGGTGTATCACAGGGACCTCCCCGGGCAAAATAGGGGGTCTCTTTATAAGTTTAGGCATCCAAGCTTCCCGCTCCAGCAGAAAACCCGTGTCTCCCTCAGAGTGAGAACATCTGAGGCTTATTCTAAGGAGACCAAGGGAAGGGGAGGAAGCCAGTGAGCTGAGGAGAAGATGTCTCCCCTTTGGCAGCTGAAGACTTGGGGTTACCTACCAGGGCTAATCAAGCATGGGCAACTGGGGTGGTAAGACACCCGCCCAGTTCTTGGGAAAGATCTTGAAAGGACCCTCCCCTTGGCATTTGTGATTATTTTATCATTGCTGGACAGATAATGGCCACCGCCCCCACCACCCTTAGCAACTCATCTGGGTTTTCCTAAGGACTGCAGTGCACAATGTTCCTGGGTTTCTAGCTCTGCCCCTTTTTGTGCTTTTGTTCCTGTAAGTTTCGGTGGAACGTGGCCGTGGGATTACACCTGTAGCTAAATCTATAGGAAGTGACTTTGTGTGCACATGGGTGCACAGACCTTGGCAGGGGGCAGGGGGCAGGGGGCAGGGGAGGGGTTGTTATTCTCATCATTAAAAACCCATGCTTAGTTTTGCTGGGAGGTGAGAAGCTTGCCCTGGCGGCCCGGAGAGTGACTTAAGTAGACAGTAGAATGTGGGGTGATTGCAGGCTCCCTGGAACTCTGCCCTCTGCCCTTCTCCCTAGCTAGCGTGTCTCCCCCCAGTGCCCTCCACCCGGCCACTGATAATTGAAATCCCTCTGCTTGGGAATGTGACCCCACGTGCCACCATGGGAAAACAGGAGTAAACCGTAAATGTCTCAGGAAATCCGTGTTCAATTCAAACCACGTTGTAACTGACAAATACTAGAGGGATGATTTTCAGAGGGCAGATTTCAAGGGGAGTGGGTAAGCAATTGTGGCTGCTAGTGATACGATTTGAGAAGGCGTCAGCGTGGATTCTCTGCACTCAAATTTGGCACTGGCCATCTCTCATTTTCCACCATGGCTTAATTCTGTTCGGGATATATCTGGAATAATTTGTCCCCTAACACTAAATAAATGAATGTTCAGCAAATATTGAGCAAAATGTACCAGTATGGGCCTTGGGGAAGGCATCGAAGCAATTTTCTCATTTGAAAATTTTGCCTGCTTGTCCATCTATTCCCAAACCTGTGGTTCGCACAAGGTCACAGGATGAGTGTGAGGTCAGCTCTCCCAGAATGCCCCAGGGACCACTCTTGCTCTCCTTACTAGCCAGGCAGAGCACTCCGTGCGTTGGCCACCTTCCAGGGCTCAAAGACACTGCTTCCCAACAAGACTGATGTTGTTTTTTTGTAGGCGAAGTCTTTTAGAGATAACACGACAGAACAGGGTGTGTATCTGTATAAATTCTACAAAGTCGGCCAGTGGAAGAAATGGGACTAAGGTTCCTTTCTGACCCCCACTTAAGAGTTTTTACCGTAAACACCATCCAGCTTTATCTGTGATCGTCTCCGTCTCGGGCAGAAGCTGGCTTGCTTTATCGGATGTCCAAGGTGAACCACCAGCCCTTGATTTGGTTTCTCAAATGTGGAGATCAATTCCTTTAGGTTTGAGAAGATCTGTTTGGGAGCACCTTCTACGGTCTGCCAAAACACAAGACACTCATCACCATCCACTGTATGTGCAATGTGACACCTCAAAGCAGCCGTTTGAGCCCTCAGAGCAAGCCTGCCTCTCCCTCTGCCTGTCGCTTCCCCTGTATTAAGGAATTATCACAATCTCCCAAAGCATGCATGACAAAGGAAAGAGTTCATATAAGTTGCTTTTTAGAAAATATTTTATGTTGAAATAATTTCAGACTTGAAGAAAAGTTGAAAAAATACTTTTAAAATTTTTATATATATCCTTCACCCACAACCCAAATGTTTTTTTAATTCTTTTTTTAAAATTTTATTTATTTATTTGACACAGAGAGAGAGAGAGCCCAAGCGGGGGAAGCGGCCTGCAGAGGGAGAGGGAGAAGCCCAACACGGGGCTCAGTCCCAGGACCCTGAGATCATGACCTGAGCCGAAGGCAGACGCTTAACCAACTGAGCCACCCAGGCACCTCTCACACCCCAAATGTTAACATTTATATTGTACATATTTGCTTTTCATTTTCTTTTTCTAAATGTACATGTATATACATGTACGGTTATAGGGATACACATACATATTCTTTTTAAAAAAATATTTTGAGATTAAGTGTGGACATGAGAGCTCCTTAACCCTAAATACATCAACATTTCCCAAAAGCAAGAACGTTATAGATCCACACTGCAGTGATTAAAATGAGGAAATTAATCTTGATGTAGTACTACTTACTAATCTACAGAGCTTATTCAAATTTTGTCAGTTTGTCCTTTGTAATGTCCTTTATAAGAAAAGAAAAATTATACACACACACACACACACACACACAGGTACACTTAAACACGTATGTGTGTGATGTGTGTGTATGTGTGTGTGTGTTTGGGGATCACGGTATATTCTAATTTCTTTTAGTTATTCACAATGAACATTAGCATATTGAAGATTCTGAGAAATCTGGCAGTGAAAAATCTGCTTAACCTTGTCTGCAAGTGTTTCAAAAAGATTATTTCAGGATTCTTTGCTAGTAAAGATTCAGTTAATATTATACTCTACTTCCTAAGCCAGAGAAATTATTTCAAAACAAAAAGCGTTTTCTGCTTAATGCTCAGTAAACCAGAAAAATTAAAGAAACCCTTAAGACTGCCCACTGACTGATGCTTCCCTTTATATTTTCATACAATCGTGGAGCTCACTTGTCTTCCTACGCGTTCGGACTGCTCCCCACCTTCCCGTTCCATCCCGCCCTGGTCACTGTGTGTCTTCTAATTGGATGGTGACCTCGCCTGGAGTCCAGCCTGGTGCATTTGACCATTGGGGGAACCAGGGTCTACACGTCTGAATAACAGCCTTGAATATTCAAAAACTCTCCCTATTTCCCTCAGAGAAAGACAAGGTTTACTATGGATCTGACTCTAACTCTGCATGTTGCTTGCCTTTTTAAAATGCCCCTCTGCGGCCACATCTCAGCTTCAAGAGATGATCTCAGGTTCTTCTCCCCTAGTCTTTTGTTACAGGAGTTCTTGTACGTTCTTACCTGTATATTGTAAAACCCATGTCTCTCTTTGAAGATTCGGTATGTGTAGACGAAATTTTTAAACCTGTGGAAAGATGACTGTGTGAATCGTAATGTTCTCATATGCAAAACCAGGTCTCTTCTACCTACCACTCTATTTTCTGCACAATGCCTTTGGCAATCTTGGGTCCCCAAAAGAAACTGATCATTTTCAGGCATTCTCATCTGTGGGAATTTGAAAGAGACAAAGGCTTGGAAACCGGAACACTTATGATGCTGGAAGTCTGGGCTTGTAGCAAAGAGGATAAGGAGAGAGAATTTACTATTTCCATGGTCTTGGCACTTCTCTCTAGTTTTTTCACTTAGCTCTAAGTTGATACAACATAAAAAAACACCATTGAGCCATTCCTGTATTGTTTACTAAATGATGTGTCATTGAACTTGATTAGAGATAGTTAGTGTTAATGAAAAAAAGAGAACGTTGGGAATTTCGCCCAAGGAAATGATGTATTGTGCTCTTGTTCTTCATTGGAACTGGCTCCACTGGCTAAGTAATCTAACCAGAATCTAGATAATAGACCCAATCTAGCAATTTCCAAAGCAAGACATAACATTAATACATTACTGTATCTCTCCAATTCCAAGATGCCATTAATTGTAAGGCATCAATTTAACAATAGCTTCCCAGGAGGAAAATGCATACATTAAATGTCTCTATCAACTGTTTGACATGTTCTGATTCCCCAGAAATATTAAAGTGTAAAAAAAGAGAGAATGAAAGACACTGACACGAGGCTCAGATTACCTAATGATCCCTCCCACCCCACGCCCTCCCACCCTGGTGCTTGCACCTATGCCAAAGAATCATTTGACTGAATAGGGAATTTGGAAAGCAACTTAGACCTTTAAGGTACAGAAGATTTGATCACTGATTGTCAGGAGGCTTTGGCAATTGACTTCAAATCCCAATCCTTTTTGTGGGGGTTCCTGAGGCCAGAATGAGCCAGTGGGTGTCCCCAAATCACATCGCAAGCAACAAAATATTTCACATGAGTTTTTGTCCACATGTGACAAAGTATCCCATATCTGGGAAGAGGTCTCAAATATTTCTTTTCAGGGGCACCTTGGTGGCTCTGTCATTAAGCGTCTGCCTTCTGCTCAGGTCGTGATCCCAGGGTCCTGGGATCGAGCCCCGCATCGGGCTCCCTGCTCAGCGGGAAGCCTGCTTCTCCCTCTCCCACTCCCCCTGCTTGTGCTCTCTCTGTGTCAAATAAATAAATAAAATCTTTATAAAAAAATTTCTTTCACAGAGGTATCATTCAAATCGGGATCCAAACGAGGTCCATACATTGCATTTGTCTGATCATGTAGTTCTTTGAAACCCAACGATCATATGTTAAATTCTTAAATGACTTCATTTTTAATTATGTTGTTGTATTATCAGCTAAGAAAATCTCCACCAGAGGAGTATGAAAGATTAAAACAAATGGAGCTTCTATGTTAACTAGTCCAAAAGCCATATACTTCAAGTTCTAAAGACAGACATTGCTCAAATATGATCTTTTCCTTTTTTTAAAAAAGATTTCATTTATTTATTTGAGAATGAGAGATTTAGGCTTATAACTTTGAACTTGTGGTTGCCCGTAACTACAGCGCTTTCATACTATGAATTTCACACATCCCACTCCCAGATCCATTCCTCTATTCGCTGACCCCATCAGTCCCTTGACCACAGAGCCTCCAGGCCTCTGGCCTTACCACTTTCCACTGTTCCCATTCACCTGTCTTCGTTCCCTTGGGGTGCCGACTGGTCTCACTTCCAACTGATGACCACAGAGCTCCAGTGGGCTCTTGGTGCTCCAGGCAATCAGTGATTTCCCCGTTCCCTCAATAGTGATTGTACACTGTCGCCTTTCTTCAGACACCCCAAACACCTCACCTCACTGATAACTTCACAGAGATTCAAGCGGTCAGAAGAGAATTCCCAGACTCTGAGCTGCCACAGCTCTTCGCCTGTGGGCTCCCATCCTCAGCCTTTGTAACCATGCACCAACTTTGCACGCCACTCTCTGGTACAAATCCCTCTTCCACTGGGGGCCACCCATTGTCATCTATTCAAGGACATAGTTCTAGCAATTTTTTCCTCTCTCTCTCTCTCTGAGGTCATAAATTATTATTCTTTACACGACAGCCAGGGTGGCCCTTATTTAAAAATGAGAAACAGATGTTTTTTTTGACTTAGAGAGCTTTATTAACTTTTCCCACTTGTTCAAAAGATTTTCCCATACAGATAAATAGCATAAATATTTGTAATCTACTTGCAATCAATACGCTTTTGATTTCAGCCTAATGTATTTTGTCATTGATTCTTATTTCTTCTAATGTTTAATAAATGGCTTTAAGTTGTGTGCCCCCCAAAATGTGAGTCAGGTCATGTCCCTCCTCTGCACAAAAATATGCTCAATTTTTTTTTTAAGTTTTACTTGTAAGTAGCCTCTACACCCAACATAGGACTCAAACTCATAACCCCGAGATCAAGAGTTGCATGTTCTTCCAATTGAGCCAGCCCAAGCACCCCAAATCTGGTCAATTTTGAATAAGAAAAATAAGATTGGGGTGTGTGTGTGTGGCAGATGGCGGGGGGTGTTTCTGTATTAACAGGTCTCAAATCTTCTTATAAAGCTATAAATAAGACAGTGAGAACTGGTTCCAGGGTAGAAAAGATATTAATGTGATAAAATAGAGAGCCTAGAAACAGACCCATACATGTCTGAAAACTTGGTATATGACAGAGCTAGCACAGCAGATCAGTGAGGAGGGATGGACTATTTGTTAAATAATAATGGTAATGTCTTAATGTGGAAATATATAAAATCGGATCCCTACTTCACATTCTAATTGAAGACCTAACCGTGAATCAACAAAACAGTGAGCTTAGGAAAAGTAAGTGTAAGTGAACAACTTCATGACCTTGAGTTAAGGAGGGAGCTCTTACATCACAAAAAGTACAAGCCCTAAGAAAAGATTAATAAACTCACTATATTAAAATTAAAACTTCCAATTGTCAAAATACATTATTAACAGAGTGAGAAAGTCCACAGACGGGGAGAAGATCACCGTAGCATTACTGTACGATAAGAACACTAATGTACCATTAAAAAAAGGCTAATGAAATGTCCACTAAGCATATGAAGAGATGTTTTACTTCACTATCAATCAGGGAAATACAAATTAAACCACAATTAAATGTCATTTCATACCAGATTGGCAAAGACATGAGAGTTTACTTATGGAAAATATTGGCCGGGATGTAAAGCTATAGGAAGTTCTACCTACAACTAGTGGGGCTGTAATTAGATACTAATGTCTTGGAGAACGATTTGGCAAAGTTTACTAAAGCCGAAATGCATACAATCTGTAAACCCAATGTGCACTTTTTAAGATTGGCAATATTGGCACAAAACTGACAATGCCAATATTATATTATTTATTAAAAAAGCAAAGATCACAGAAACTAAATATTTAATACATTTAAACACATTTACAATCTAAAAAATCATCACTATATTATAAAATACTAAGTAAAAGTATAAATTAAGGAAAATACGTAAGAGAAATACATATTTTCTAATATAAACTATCATTAGATTAGATTAATTGGGGCACCTGGGTGGCTCAGTCAGTTCAGCATCCGACTCTTGGTTTCGGCTCAGGTAGTGATCTCAGAGTCCTGGGATTAGAGCCCCACGTCAGGCTCTGAGCCCAGCACAGATTCTATTCTCTCTTCCTCTCCCACTGCCCCTCCCCCTCCCTTTCTTTCCCTCAAATAAGTAAATAATAAATAAAATTAATTAACTGACAGTACTCAAAAAAACAAATGCTCCAAATCTTATTAAATTTTCGTTAATAATGAAAAATTTAAAGTAAAGTAGGTCTTTTTAGTACATTTTCAACGTGAAAAAAGGGAAGGAGAGAGGTAGAGATGAAGGGAGGGGGAGGGAAGAAGGCAGGGAGGGAAGGTGAATCAGTAGGGTCATCACTGAGTTCTGAGGATTTTTTATGCAAACGTTTCCATCCACTGGAAAAGTGTTATCTGTTGACACGGTTGGGGAATGCTAAGGACATAAAATTTAAGTTAATTCTGAATACTTTCCTTTGATTTGTTCACCTTCAAACAATCTCATCCCTTGTTCTGCAACTTTAAAAAAATCTGTTTTGGGCGCCTGGGTGGCTCAGTTGGTTAAGCGACTGCCTTCGGCTCAGGTCATGATCCTGGAGTCCCTGAATCGAGTCCCGCATGGGGCTCCCTGCTCAGCAGGGAGTCTGCTTCTCCCTCTGACCCCCCCCATGTGCTCTCTCTCTCTCACTCTCTCTCTCAAATAAACAAATAAAATCTTTAAAAAAAATAAAAAGATTAAAAAATCTGTTTTGAACCTTTTGGATCTTTATAGGAGTTGATATCTTTACTGAACGTAGAGTTTGCCACTTAAGCCGTTACTAATGTCAGTGGTTACGTTTCTAAGATTCTACATGCTCACTGACCGCTCTGAAATGGTCTTTATCCGAACACAAAAACAAACGGTTGAAAGGGCTCAGTTTTAATTCCAGTGGAGTTGACGTACAGTGTTGCATTAGGTTCAGGTGCACCATATGGTGCTTCAGCACTCCCGTGCATCACCTCGTGCTCATCACGAGAGCCCTCCTTAATCCCCATCACCTGTTCTCCCCATCCCCCACCCACTTCCCCTCTGGTGACCAGCAGTGTATTCTCTAGAGTTAAGAGCCTGTTTCTTGGTTTGTCTCTTTTTTCCCTTGTTTTGTTTCCTAAACTCCACATATGAATGAATTGAAATCATATGCCCACAAGACTGGTCGCAGATATTCATGCCAATTTCAACTGTAATCGATCTGGCTGAGTAAACAGATTGTAATGTCTCCCTGGAATGGAATACTGCTCAGCAATGAAAGGACCGAACTCTGGCACACGGAACTATACGGATGAATCTCAAAGTAATTATTCTGGACGAAAGAAGTCAGACAAAAAGGGCTACTACTTTATGATTTGATTTACATTAAATTCTGGGA